TTATTTCCAAAAAAAGGCTTTCCAATGAAAAAATATCCCCCTCCTAGGTATGCTCCTATAAAATAAATGGATAATTTAGATTCTGAATACCGACAAACCAGAGTCAAATGTATGGAAGACCAACTCAACGCGGATATTCATAAGTATCAACAAACCTTGAAGATCTACAAACGTCTGGACAAAGTTGCATCTGTAGCACTGGGTGCTTGTTCTGTGGGCAGTTTGGTGTTGACCAGCTGCACCATGGGTTCAGCTTTAACAGGTATAGGTATTATAGCCTCCCTTCCCCGAGGATCCCTTGCTTGCTTGAGTGCCACTGGCGTGATGGTACTCACACTAATCTCAAGGCGTATCATGAAAAAGAAGAAAAAACACCGCGACACCTTGCAATTAGCACAGTCCACAAAATTTTTGGTTGAACAATGTATTAGTACTGCTTTGGCTAATGATGAACAAATTGATGATGCTGAGTTTGGGAAAATCACCACCTGCCTCAAAAACTACTACGATGAAAAAGATAAGCTCCGACAACCTTCCACCACTTTTTAGTGAGGACCTTAGTGCGCATTATTTTTTTTTTAACTTACTTTCTCACAAGGTTGCAAGAAAAGTACTCCTGTTTGGTCTTTTCGCTGACTTCTAAGCCTGTACTTCTCACAAAGGCTCCTTCCAAGGGTTCCATCTCTCTGTTCAGTATACTGCAAGCCCACACCCTTGACGTTTCTCCTTCTCTGTTTTTCAAAGTGAGGATCTTACTCCTCCCAAACTTCCAATCTACTTCTACCACTTCCAGGATTTTATAAATCACTCCGATTGGGAGTTCCTTCCATTTCAGGGTTTCCAGGCTCTGGTCCTTTGCCTTTTCCTCAAAAACATTATCATTGATAAATTCGTTGTCTACGATTTTTGAACTTCTGAGTTCATCCATATTTTGAACAAAAGACATATTTGTATTTACCCTAGGATTACATCCTTTTAAGGTGTTTTGGGTTTTGTGTAAAAAAAAAAAAAAAAGAAAAAAAAAAAAAATAGATTTTTTTTGTCGTATGTCATTCATTCACATTTTTTATTTTTTTTTCGTTTTTTTATCATTTTTATGCTATATTTCTACTTAAAATAGATTTGTGGCAGAACCGGCAATTTGATACTACTTTCAATTCTTACAAAAAACACTTCAAACTGCAGGGACATCAACAGAATACCCTATTAGAACTAAAGTTGCAACAGGAAATTACATACTGCAATCAAATAGAGCCAAATTCAACAAATGTGAGGTATCAGCCACCTGCAAAATTTGTAATAAAGAAGACGAAACGATTGAACATTTTCTTATCTCTTGTATTCATCTTGAACCAGACAGAGAAAAGCTTTGAAAAGTGATACGTGAGCAATGTCTTAGATTGGTAGAACTATTTAACATTAGTTTGGATATAAACTTAATCCATGTGATAATTAACCCATACCATCTTGTGAAATTCTGTGCTTGCACCCAAACTAGTGATTTATGTAGCTTTATTAGCTTGCATGTTGAACCTGCTTGTAGAACACTTATATATAACCTGCATATGCAAAGGTACAAACTCCTAAACACTGGACAGAAAAACTTAAGAAAGTCAAATTTAGCTAAGTAGTAGTTGTGTGTGGACTGTAAGTTATTATTATTAATTAAAAGTAAATATATTCTAAATTCCGTAAATAAGACTTGATATGTGATATTGGTGAAGGAATATATTGACATACTTTTATTGTGTACAGACTGTATTATAATTCTATTGGTGATTGGATTTATATTGGATTTATTACTTCGTACTGAAGGTGTGCCTATATTGGCAGAATATATGAAGATACAGAATACAGAATTAGTAATATAGTATATAGACTAATAGTATAATATAGATCATAATGATATCCTACTGTGTACTTGCAAAGATATACATGTATACCTACGCCTGCACATGCAGAAGAAGTTTTAATATCAGCATACTTTTTTACTTCTGTCACACACTGATACATGTAGATATAATGTGGTGCTCCAGATAATTGTTAGAATTTTTCTGCCAAGAAAGAAATTAATTGTTCACTATTCTAGGACTCGGCCACAGTGGGTCAGAATGGCAATTAGTGTTTCAGTGTTCATTAAATATTAGTTTAATGCTTTGTGAGAAAAATAACCTCATCCTGTTTATGTACATGTATGTTAACCAGATATCTGAAATTACAGAAAATACATTTTTATGCCCCCGCAGTATACGTAGCTGAGGGGGCATAAAGTTTTACCCTTGTCCATTTGTCTGTGCGTCCGTCCGTACATCCCAAAGTTGATTTCCTTTCTCTAACTTTAGTTTGCATCAACCAAATGTTATGAAACTGATACACAATGCTTATTACCACAAAACACAGATCAAGTTTGAATTTTATTGGCGTCACTTTAACCGTTCCAGATTTATGCCCCTTTAGAAATGTTAAAATTGCTGAATTTTTCGTTTCCATTCTCTAACTTTAGTTTGCCTCAACCAAATGTTATGAAATTTGTACACAATACGTATTACCACAAAACTCAGATCAAGCACAAATTTGGGTAGCATCACTTTTATCGTTCTTCAGTTATGTCTCTTTATAACTTTATATGATCTGCTATGGACACATTCCCCATTTATTGTAGTCTTTCATGCTCAAATATTTAGCTTTAACTACATGAGTAACTTTGCAGAGGGGGAGCCCAGGGGGGGGGCCTTTTTTTGGGGAAAATTTGGTTGATTATATAGGGAATCACTAAAGCATGGCTGTACAGGCCTCCCTTATGAAAATTTCTGGGTCCGCCGTTGCTTTGTTTTCATTCGTAACATTGCTAGTATAAATAATTTTGAAGACTTGTTTAAGTAATTATGCTCTTGACTGATAGAATACTCTGAGGCTCTCTCTTTACTTTCAACATGTCCAATACATATACTTGATCAATATATAGAAGAACAAGACAGATGAAGCTATCTCTATCATAGTACATACATGTATGTTAAATTGTTCAGAAAACAACCAACCATCAAACAAAATCAATAGGTATCTTATAAATTTAATGTCTGGAAATGATGATGCTAAATAAAAAGAAAAAATAGGAAATTAAATGAAATACAAGTTTAAAGATTTGTGTACTGATTCTGATAATAAATACGTACAAATTTGATTAGGGAATCCACACCTCAAGGACTAATCCCAAAAAGGATTACTCAAGGGCCAGTGTTTTTATTTCCCCAAAAATGTTCAAAGATAAGAAGATGTGGGTCCTAGAAATGGATTCACAATGTCAATTTATAAATTTACTTTAGATTTACTTTTACTTAAATTGGAAGCATACGGTCTATCTAAAAATTCTCTAAAATTATTAAAAAGTTATTTAGAAAACAGAAATCAACGCATTAAAATTGGAAGTTCTTACAGTGAATGGGATCGTATGTTTAAAGGTGTACCACAAGGGTCAATTCTTGGACCAGTTCTTTTCAATGTCTTCATAAATGACATTTTTCATTTTGTACAAAAAAGCACCATTTATAATTATGCTGATGCTAACACTGTATCATATAGTGATCATGATTTAGATAAAGTTGTTGAAAGTTTAGAAACTGATAGTTTAAATCTAATAAACTGGTTTTCTATAAATTTAATGAAGGCTAATCCTGACAAATTCCAGGCTATAGCCATTGGAAAAAAAACCCAAATAAACATAATTTGATATTTAATTTAAATGGAAACAAAATTTTTTGTGAAGAAAATGTTAAACTTCTTGGAATAACTATAGATTCGGACTTAAACTTTAACAATCATATATCTGAAATATGTAAAAAGACATCAAGACAATTAAATATTCTAAAACGTATGGGTAAATATTTAAACAGGCTAGGTAGGTTAACAGCATACTACTCATTCATTCTTTCGAATTTTAACTATTGTCCAGTAATTTGGCACTACTGCAGCGAAAAAAATTCTTTTAAAATGGAAAAAAATCAAGAAAGAGCTCTAAGATTCATTTATGAAGATTATGATAGACCATACGAAAAACTGCTAGAAAAATCTAAATTACCATCTTTAAAAATAAGAAGAATAAAAACAATTGCAATAGAAACATTTAAAATAATTCACAAAAAAAGTCCGAGCTACCTTCATGATTTGATTGATATAAAAATTAACAAGTATGATTTAAGATCACAGGAAACAGCAGTACTCCCAAGAGTCCGAACTACTAAGTATGGCTTAAAATCGTTTCGCTATAATGCTGCACAAATCTGGAATGAGCTGCCGAACCATTGTCGAATGGAAACATCTTTTGACCAATTCAAAAAATTGGTACATACATGGGATCCAAGTAACAGCTCATGCCAGTGCAGTGCATACATATAGTGTTATACCTGTGTTTGTTTTATTTTGACTATTTGATTTGTGCAATCTTATTATTAACTTGTGCTATGTTTTAAGTGTACTATGCTTTTAACTTATATATGTCATTTATGGTATCTTACTATGCATTATATGTTTAAAATTGTATTGTTTTCATGACTTTTGTATGTGTGTATTGTATTTTGTTATTAAGTCGATTTGAAAAGCTCACTAGAGCTTGTGCTTATGTAGTTTATGGAATATCGACTCTAAATAAAACTTTGAATCTTGAATCTTGAATCTAGATAGCCTATCTCTATACGTAACATTTATTTAAGGACAATAAAACATTCTGTCATTAACCAGAGGAACATATCAATGAAGATGTGTTTGAATAAACACTAGTATTAATTAAGTAACAGGGTATGTACATGTAGGTAGGGAAACCCTAAACAGACATGCATGTACATTTTTTCTTCATATTTTAGTCTGGAAAAGCTAGTAATAGTTATTAAAGAAAAAAAATTAAATGAGATCCTTTGAAATGGATGTTAAATAATCTTAAATAAGCTTTATAATGGAGTCAGCATTGTTTTGAATATTCCATAATTATATTTAAATTGATATTTCAGGAGCAGACATTCTTCCCTGGTCTATATAGCTTCATGGAAAGGAATCAGACACAGAAAGTTTGGGGAAATGAAATTGAGTCACTGTGAATAATTCACATACATGCCAGACATAAAGAAATGGCCAGACACAGGCTCAGCTATAGAATCTGTATCAACTGGAAGCAACAGCATTTTCATCAGAAAATTAAAAAGGATGTGAAAAACATGAAATATGCATTTGGAAATATTCAGCCACCAAACAAATAGATATGCCAGGAAATGCAAATTGTTTGCTAATATAAATGTCAATGATGTCTGTACAAAAGCAAAGATATAAAAGCCTTTTTCATTTATAAATACATGTAACAGCCACATACAATACAAATTTAAGACGAACAGACATTCTTTAAATCTTTGGTAGCCACGGAACCTAGTCGTAGACATTCCATATTTTCAACTCGTTATGAAGACATATTTGACCAATCTGGTTTCCAATAGAAGTTTAAAAATAAGTTCTACATGTACATGACATGATGATCACCAGCAATGAAGGTGATATAGGATTTAATATTCAAAGTAATGTTGAGAAGTATAAAGTGAAGTTGAACCTCCCACCATAATAGCATTCTACACATTTTGGATCACATATGGATCAAGCTGTTGTACTTGTGAACTAAAAGATTGTTGCTTGTCAGGTACATTGTACATGTTGACAGTGCTATAAGTTCATTAAATAAAATGCAGTTCAGAACAGTTAGTAATAGATAGATTTCTTCTGTCTTTATTTGAATGGATAAACCAGATAATTAAAAAATAATTTTTCTGACAACTATGTCTGTTCTGGAACTGAAGACTACATGCACTTTTTGTATCTTCCTTGTTCATTTTCCTACAGATAAATGTACCTTTTATTTACTGACTATCACCATGAGGCTTATAAGGAAGCTTAATTCCTCCAAGGTCTCCAGTTTTGTCCTGCCTGTGACAAAAGTTTCAGAATACAAGACATGCAAGACATAAAATGCTAATCGGACAACAACATTTACAATTTATATAAAGTTTTATATTTCAGAGGGTAGAAATCATGGATTTTTCATACTTAAAATCAAAATGTATAAAGAATCCTTATGTTTAGAAGTTTCTGTCAAGTCATATGTCCATTGTCCATATCCTCATTTTCATTGTTCAGCGACTCCTTAAAAAACTACATGTGTAGTGATTTTATCAAGTGAATTTGTGGCATATTATAAGTAATAAGATAACTATATTTGGTATACATATATGGGATCCAAGGTTTACATGTGTTGTCAGACAGGGTTCAACTTGTCTCTCAATTTTTTTCAACTTATAAGTCTACAGATATCTAAATAAAACATTAAGGTATATATGTATTAGGTAAAAATCAAATCAAACAAAAGCCGGTGTTCATGTGACCCCAAACTCATTTTCCCCATCAGTGATTAAGGTTAATTTTTTGTGTAAATTGTGGTTAATTCCATTTCTCAGATTCTACAAAATGTATATAAAGCAGTAGGTCAAAGTTTATATATGAACAAGAAGAGATACTATACACATGATATATGAAACGTTTATGTATATGTCAATGATGATGATGATGGATAGCTGCTTACAGTCCAGTGGCAAATTAATATGCATATTAAGGACGAGAATATGTTAATGTGATATGAATATAAACCCTGCTTTGTAGTAGACTGACAGCAACTGAAATAGCAAAAAATAATTAAATGACATCTAGAATGAAACCTGCATGTATATATAAGGCTTCAATAGAAGGAAAGGCAATTGTCTATGCAATATGTCAAGCTCTAGTCTTTAATATGTCTATAAAAGTAGTGAATAAATTTAGCAGAAATATCTTGTTCATAGTGCCTGTGATAATCATTCATGTACATGTACATCACTACATGTACCACATCTATTTTATATAGATCTGTCATATGCATTTAATACACAATTCTAAAAATAAAAAAATAAAAACTATATGCCATGCAGCATGTACTACAAGTCTACAACAGGGTTTTTGCTTGGTACAGGCACATGAAATGTGATTGAAATAGTTTTTGTGTCACCTGAGACCATTGTTGCAAAATGCGACACTTAGGGATTACAATCAGCATAATCATGCAGCAGCATAAACTATTTGAATAAAGTTTGATATTTCAAAAGATAGATGACCTGGATGTTTCATACCTTGTACACAGATACATTTTTGTGTACCTTATGTGTAGTCACTAAGTTTCTGTCCATCAAATGTCCATTGTCCTTGACCTAATGTTTATGGTTCAGTGACTGCTTGAATAAAAATCATGCTTTTTTTTTCTCATGTGAAATTTTCACTTACAAATGTATTTTGGTCAAGTCTGTATCTCAGATTCAATAAGCAATAGGTCAACTACATTTGGTGTATGGAATAATTGTTAGATGTACATGTACATGTGCATGTTGGACTAGCAGTTTTCATCGAACCTTGACCTCTTTTTCATGGTTCAATCTTTAGTTGTTGTGGTTTAGTCTATTTATCGGAGACTAGCAATTAGGCCTCTACATTTGGTGTATGGAATGATTTTAAGGTGAACATGTCCGACACAGGCATTCTTTTCTGACCTTGACCTTTTTCATGATTCATTATATGACATTTATTATTTATGATTTTGGTCTATTTTGAAGACACTTGAAGCAATAGGACCACTATATTCTGCATATGGAATGATTATAAGGTGTTCGTGTCTTGTCTGGCAAGTTTCATTTGACCTATCCCTCATTTTCATGTCAGGTTCATTTGTCAGTGCTTATTTTTTGGTTTTTTTTCATCAGTCTTATCAGATTAAGTATATGAAATGATAGGTTATTAGGTACTGGTATATATTGAATATGTTTGTTTGGCAGAATTCATATGACTGTGACCTCATTTTCATGGTTCATTTGTCAATGGTAAGTTTTGATTTGGTCTTTTTTCCAAGTACTCAAAAATATAAGACCACTATGTTTGGTGTATGTAATGATATAAGGTGAACATGTTTGTCTGGTATGCACTACAAACTGCTCAGAGTCTGAAAAGACCATATTTTGTACTCAACCAGAAAGGTCAAGCACAGATTTTACTTGACAAGACTCAACAGTACTTAAATGTAGTTTACCTTTGTCTAGACTTACTTAAGTCAGATTGAGTACTTGATAATCTTGGTAAATATAAAAATGAGAGGATGTGGTATGATTGCCAATGAGGCAACTCTCCACAAGAGACCAAATGACACAGAAATGAACAACTATAGGTCACCATACGGCCTTCAACAATGAGCAAAGCCCATACCGCATAGCAATAAAAGGCCCCGAAATGACAAATGTAAAACATTCTAAACTAGAAAACTAATGGCCTAATTTATGTCTGAATATATAAGTCTCCACAAATGCTTGACCAGTCTTGATCAATGCTCGAATCAGTTTTGAACTTCTCATTTAATCTCAACTGGTCTTGACCCAGCCTGAATCAGCCCATCTATGTCAATTGTATATTGATCTTATAAAATGACAGGTTATTGATAATTTAGTTTATTGCTTCCAAATATAAAAATTTGATTAAAAGGTAAAAAAAGCTAGAATTTTCATTTTGGACTAAATTCAGATAGTCACCTTTAAAAATGTCTATAACTTTTTCAAATTAACTTGGATTTTAATAAAACTCTACAGCTATCTCAATCATATATTGATCTTACAAAATGCAAGGTTATTTGGAAGTCTGGTTTATTGCTAGCTATAAATGTAAGGATTTATTTAAAAGGAAAAAAAGGAAGAATTTTAAATTCACAGCTATCTAAATCATATATTGATATTAAAAAATACAAAGTCGAAGGGGTCTTTAGGTTTGCACTTCGTCCGTCTGTCAGTCTGGCAAATCAGTTTTCCACACTTTTTTTCTTCGTGCTTGAAGATATTGATTTGATTTTTGGTGTATTGTTTTATCATGACAAATTACAGATCAAGTTCGATTTTTTATTCCGGTCTGATGATTTTATGTATATGTATATACAGATAGATGGGCTGATTCAGACCAAGTCAAGACTGGTTGAGACTATTAAGTACAGACCAGTCCATTATTTGTCGAGACCATATTCAGACTAGACCAAGATTATCAAGTACTCATTTAGACTGATTAAGTAAAGTCTAGACTAAAGTCAAGTACAGTTAAGTACTGTCCTGATTATGTTTAGTCCTGACAAGTAACATCTGTTCTCTACCTTAATTACTGGTTGTGCACACAATATGGTCCTTTTGAATTCAGACTCAGCAGTTTATAGTGATGGTTCATCCACCTGGACCTCATAATCATTGATAATGTTAAGTTTATATGATGCTTGTAGTGAAACCTTCATATAATAGACTTTCAACATACATTCAATCATATGTAAAGAAGGCAAGACATTTCAGCTTATACACTCTTGTTAAAGTATAGATCTCAACCTTGCCACTTTTTTTTATCTAGATTTTAAGATTAATAAAAGGTATATTAAGAAAAAAATAATTAAATTTAGTTCTATTGATGAATTTTTGAATGGATGTATTTTAATGATGGGAGGTGACTAGCAAACAAGCAGTAAAAATGTCAATTATTATGTCAATGATAGACTAGGATTGGTTTTTGGTATATATGTATCCGCTACAGCATGGGAATTGTATAGGAAATACACGTGTATTTAAATATATATCCTACTACCTAATATTTTTATGCCCCCGCCGTAGCGGTGGGGTCATTAAGTTTTACCCTTGTCCGTCTGTACGTACGTACGTACATACGTACGTCCAAAATTGGTTTCCGTTCTTTAACTTGAGTTTGCCTCAACCAAATGTTATGAAACTTATACACAATGCTTATTACCACAAAACACAGATCAAGTTTGAATTTTGGTGACGTCACTTTAACCGTTCTAGAGTTATGTCCCTTTACAAATGGAAAAATTGCAAAATTTTTAGTTTCCGTTCTGTAACTTAAGTTTGCCTCAACCAAATGTTATGAAACTTATACACAATGCTTATAACCACGAAACACAGATCAAGTTTGAATTTTGGCGGCGTCACTTTAATTGTTCTAGAGTTATGCCCCTTTATAAATGGAAAAATTACACAATTTTATTTTCTTCTAAATATCAAGTAATTTTTTTTTGGCGTTATCTTCCTTTGTCCATGATTATAAGGGGACGAAGTCCCCTATAACAGTAGAAAAATCCAAAAAAAAAAAAAAAAAAATTCGGGAAAATTTCCCGAAATTTTCATTGTACTAATGAACTCAAAATCGTTAACTTTTTTTTTGTAACTTTTTTTAATTCCCGCATTTGCCCAGAAATCTACTTCCTTCTTCCGGTCTCGTTTGTCATGAGACTGAGTGAAATATATATTTATCAGTCCAGTAAAATATAGGAAGGAAAACAATAACAATTTCATTTCTAATTATTCTTTGATATGAAAACACGTTACCTGATGATAGCGTTTCTTTGTTTACATTGAATATGACGTCATAACTAAAATAACGTCACAACTAAAATCCCTAACAACAGAACCAAAATCGGAAACGTTACGGTATTTCCGTTTCTTTTTTAACAGATTTAGAACTTAAAATATGTTTGAATTAAAAAAAAATAATTTATATAGACTTCGTCCCCTTTCACAGGTAATGCCTGCCTCATATTAGTTGAATCAACTACAATCAATGCTTTATTCAATGCAATGTTTAATTTTGACTTCCACTGATAAA